TTTGATGGGCCTCGGCTTTCCCCGCTTAGTTTCTAGAGTCTAGAGAGGCTTTAAAGCGGCGAGGACTTCATTGAGAACTTTCGACAGTGGTTTCGGGCTGGAGGAGCCGCGTCCCGGTTCTCGTGCATCAATGGTAGCATTCCGCAGCTCCGATGCTTTCTCCCGCAGTTTTGTGGCCGTAGATGGTCACACTGGCGTGTTGTCATGCTGCTGCAACAAGTTTACACGTCAGCCTGTTGTTTGATTTATGCAAGGACTTTATTGGAATCGCGCATGCTGACACGAAGCTCCAGTCCAACATCGTCCACATTTCGGTTTGCGCACATGGAGAGGAGTTTGTAGTCTGAAAAGTTGCCATGATTCCCACCTGTGTTTGTGATTTTGTGTCTCTGCATTCACCGCATCTCGTCAGCTTCACAATCCTCGAACGAACCCCCAAACCCTAAACTTGAACCCTAAGCCCAACTAGATCATGGAAACGATTCGGCATCATACCACCTGAATGTTGCAAAAGCACTATCAAAAACCTTTCCAAAGATCTGCTAGAACCCAGCGGAACCCCCATAAAAAATCCTTCACCCTGTTCCGTTCCCGCCGAACCTCTCCCTCCTCGAATGCCGTGTCGCTCCAGTCCCGCTTCATTAGGGCGGCCCGATCTGCCTTCGACTGTCATGTAGGGGCCGTAATAATTAGAACAGGCTTTGGGGTTCTGGTGCACTTTCATTGTAATAAGGAACCCCAAAGTCCTATTCCAATTATTCAGGCCTCTGCGTTAGGAGTCTCGGAATTGCTTGGTTTGGGGATTACAAGGCATGGGACATTCTTTGTCTAGCGCTTCCCAGAGGGCACGAGTTTCAAGCTTCTTCTCAAGCTTATACAACTACCAAAAACCCTCCAAAACTCTACATCCTAGGTCTCAAAACTTCATCCGAAACCCAAGAACCCTTCCAACCCCTCCTTGGCCTTCCAGCTCCCACTCCCTAAACCCTAAACCCAAAGACAGGCTGCCTCGCCTGCTCCTGGCGGAAGGTTTCCAGCACGCCCTCCATCGCCTCCACGGCCTCCCGAGACCAGGGCTGAGGGATCCTCTTGGGGGGGATACTTTTGAAGTGTGGCTCGGGCTAGGATTTATGACATGAGGGTCTAGGGTTCGGGATTTAGGGTTTAGTTTTCAGGGTTTTGGGTTTGGGGCCTCCTGGAAGGGATTCTGGGCCCCTCGAAGGATTCGTGGCGGGTTTGCGGAGGATATATGACAGGTCTGGCGGGAGTTCTTGATAGGGTAGTGCAGGTCTTACAACGGTTTCATGCGCAGTGTGCTTAGAGTTTCGCCTTTTGGGGTTGAGGGCTGCAGGGCAGCTGGAGGCCCTGGGAGAGCAGGGCTTCATGGTCCAGGGCTTTGAAAGGGTTGCTCCAGGGGCCTGGAAGATAAACGGAGCAGTTTTCAACCACCCGGCTTGCATGATTCTTTGTGGACGTATCGTGCTCTGGGTTTTCAAAGTAAAGGTTCTGGAAAGCGTTTTCAGGGACCTCCTGCGCAGCAGACCCGAACAGCCTTCGCTTGATTTGGGAGCCATGGACATTCTCTAAACTACAACTCTGAACTCCACACACCGACGACGAAACCGTCAAGTTCAACGCTCAACAATAAATCGAGTAGCCGTTGTGCGGCTAGTATCACCACTGGGACATGCAGCACGCACCAGGCGGCACGCAGAAGACCAATCACGACCGCAGGAGTCACGTCAATCCCAGCTCATGGAATGAGACTTACGACTGTAAAATTACACATCGTAACGGCTCCAAGAGGAAGCCAGGCCAACGACAACAACAACAAGAGCGTCATGTAACATGTAGAAGTAACTGGACCACAGTCGTCATCACGGGTTGTAAATACTGTAGAAACGACGCACTAGCAACCGGAGACCATGATAGAAGCAATCATGACTACCCCCCTCTCGAAACGCCTTAGGCAGCAAACTCTACACCCAAGGCTGAAGCCCCAAATTGTAAAGCCTTGTACACGAGAAAGAAAGGAACCCAAAACAAGCAACCCTTTACAAAATAAAAACATGAGAAGACAACCTTCTGACTCGACTTAATTTACAATGAACATATGCATGTTGAAGCAAGCAGCCCCTACAAAAGCCCGCAAAACCCTGAAACACACCCCATAAAGACTCCTCAGACACCCCCTACAGAAGCCCTACTAAACCTTATAAAGACCCTGAAAACGCCTCATGCACGATGCAAACCCTAGACCCCATCAATTGACCCCTACAATTGCAAAACCACCCAGCGAGCCAGCGCGGCCTTTTCGGGGGCCTCTCCGCGCAGTCGCTGAACCAGAGCGCCGAGCTGGGATGCTCAAGAGCCCAAGGACGCTTTAGGGCTTAGGGCTTAGGGTGTAGGGTTTTGGGTTCAGGGTTCGGGGCTTAGGGTTTACGGTGTAGAGGTTTAGGGTGTGGGATGCTTAAAAGCCCAAGAAGGGCTTCTAAAAATATCTAAGGCAGCCGGCATAAGAGCAAAAATCAGGATAGCTTCTGTACACTTTGCAAGGTTGCTTCTCGCTTCCGGGGTTGTTTCGGTGTTGCAAAGGTTTAAGAGTTGCTCAGCTATTTGGTTTTAGGTTTTCTTCAACTTGGTACAGTTATCAACTTGTGCGTGTCATCCTTGCGCAGGGGCCACGGTCTTAGGGTTTAGGACTTAGGGGCTTCGTGTCAAGGCCGGGGCGTTGAGCAAATACTGCTGTGCAATGTAACTGTAGATGTGCATGAGAAAACTAGTTGCAAACTAGTACTACACTACAGGCGTCTACACATGTACGACGGTAGATGCGCATACAGCAACAGCAACTGTAGCACCACTGCGAGTAGTGGTAGTAGTAGTAGTAGTAGGACCTAGCAGAAGCAGCACTTGCTGTTGTCATTGTCGTCGTTGAGCGACAGCAAGCGCAGCAGAAGGAGCAGTTGCAGCGGTTTTAAGGCCCTAATTCCATGATGGTAGTATAGGAGGAGCCTCTAGGATTGTTCATGGCACCAACCTATCGGCACTATACCTTGAGTGTTTGTTGGCAGGCCGATGCCTCGTCTAAGTGAAGCGGCTGAAGAGCCGGAGCATGGGCCTGCCAAGGTGCTTGCAGGGTTCAGGGTTTAGGGTTTAGGGGTTTAGGGTCTAGGGAACAAAGACGATGTCCCCGACTAGCGCTTCCTACGCCGACTCGCACTGCTTCTGCTGCTACAGCTGTTTCCCGCTGCTGCCACTGCTTCTACTGGTGTTTCTCTGCAGGAACAGACAGAATCGAAAGCTCCTCGGAGTGAGGAGTACCTGAAGCCCCGAAAACCTACATTTTTCGGTGTAAAGACAAGGACTAGAAGGTAGGTTTTTGGTGACCAAGGTCCTCCATCAGTTCCGGAAAGGCTCCTTCACAAGGACGTCGGAGCCCTTTGATACCTGGATGCCCCTCCAAAACCCCCACAAAAAACCCATGAAACTCCTTATGAAAACCCTTATAAAAAGCATGAGCCCTCAGCCCTGAACCCTGAAACCAATCTTTTAAAAGCAGCAGCCTAGGTACCTGGGCTGCTCGGAAGGGCTCCCCTCACTGAGGAGCCGGCCGAGAGCTGCCGCCGCTGCTCAAGCCCTGGCAATCATTGGGCCAGTAGGCTTTTCCGGGCTTCGGAGGTTCAGGGTTCAGGGCGTTTAGGGTTGAGGGTTTAGGGTTCAGGGCTCAGGGCCCCTCGGATTCAAGGGCTGTTGAACTGTTGAGGGTTCCTATTAAATTCTGGCGTTGGGCTTTGAACCGGTACAAGGCTTTAGGGCTCCGGATGCAGTTGACATATCTTTCTCCTTGCACAGCCTCGAAGTGAGCCGTGGCATTGTACAAACCGCAAAGAGTCTTTTTGTCAATGGCTTGGGCGACGAGGATCCGACGACTTCGGGCTTTACATGAGGGTCCAACATTTCCAGAAACTCCCGGCTAGCTTCAGGTTCTGTGAAGAGCAGCTGGGGTTTGCATACACAGGAGACGAGCCCGCACTTACACACCGTGGAAGTGTCATGGACCTTAACTTCAGTTACCATATTCAGGATGGTAGATTAAGCCAAGATCCTCAACACCCTGTCAACATTGTCAATATTTTATAACATCCCGTACAAAGCTCGTCTTGAAAACTACTTAATGCAAAACAAGCAGGAAAGAAAACCCTAAAACTGTTACATGCCCGTCAAAACTTCGCCCTTACACAAAAGCCTTCTAGAACCCCTATAGAACGCAGACAGTAGCCCTCATCAGACCCGTTTGGAAGGCTGAAACCTCTTCGGCATCGCAGCGACTTGCCAGCGAGCAACGCAAGTCCTCAGCAGTTTTTATGTTGCAGGGTGTAGAGTGCCAAAAAAAGCATAGGGGGTTCACGAGACATGAGATGTTATAGGGATGTATCAGAGGTTTAGACCACTTCCGGGTTCAGCAATTGCGGTCCAGCATGGCGGGCTTCGGCTTCAGAGTCTCGGGTTTGTGGCTCAGGGTCGGTTCTCCTTGTCCTTGATTTGCTGCTATCTACCGACATCGTGAACTGAGCAGGACCGTGTCAGATTTGAGAATCGGAGTTCGCTGGGAAATCAGTAGCCTGCCTGACAGATTGAAGTCCTCCCGTCCAGCGGCGCTCCATTTTTAAAACTCGCCGCGTGCCATGCTACGCGTAAAGGCTGTCAGCCTCTCAGTAGTGGTCCTGCCAACTACCTGGGAGTCTCAGAAGATGAAGGGATCCGAATGGACCCTGAAATTGCAGGATCCTGTCAAAAAGATCCCTGGCTGAGCTCCCCCTTACGTGAGAAATGCATCAAACCTGACGAAATCAGTCTATAATCCTGTAAGGTTTATGTGAAACCCAATAGACATTGACAAACCGGAACAAGAGTTATTAAAACCAACCACCTGGCATCAAGACAGAAGCCTTCTCTCTGGTATGGGCCCCCGAACCCAGTTCTGCGGAGTTGCATATTCATTTGACAAAACTCATGGCCAATCGTTCGAGCTCATCCAGCTCCCTCTCTCGTCTCAGGAGCTTCTCCTCGACACAGCTGCGGACAACAGTTTCGGGTGTAGGGGCCCACTGACATGAAATCTCAAGGGACCCCGAAAACCCTACCGCCCCGCACATGATAGGAACGCTTGTAGATCCCATTACAGGAACCCTTTGTAGATCCCATTCTAATTACCCCTGTCGATCCTTTAAGGAAGCCCTGGCCCCAATGAGCCAAGCCTGCCAAGCAAGCAGCTGATGTGCGTCCAACGCTCTGGCCTGGAATAGGGGTTTAGGGGTTTGGGGGTCCAGACTTTAGGGGTTTAACGGTTTAGGGGTTTGGTGGTTTAGAGGTTCAGGGGTTTAGGGGTTTAGGAGTTTAGGGGTTTAGGGGTTTAGGGGTTTGGGGGTTTGGGGGTTGAGGTTTAGGGGTCTGGGGGTTTAGGGGTTCAGGGGTTTAGGATTGAGGGTTTTATAGTTTAGGGTGTTGTAGTCTGGAGAGCGGCCTGCCTTGTAACTACGGCTTGCAGGACTTCCAGAGGTCCAGAGGGCCTTCCGAAGCATACTAAGCAACCCTGAACGACAAGTACCGAACTACTGTTGATGCCCAAAATCCTGCATGACCTGCAGCATCGCACATATGTCATGCCGGGCTGTCCACTTCCCCGCAACCCCTGAATTTCAATGTTGCATCACCCTGGGGTCATGCAGGATTTTGGGCATTCGCGCAAACGCTTTTTCTAGACTCTCTGTCAGTGCAATATTAAAATTGGGGGTAGCAGGGGAGCCGTGGGGAAGATTAAACCGATGCAGGATTTAGGGCATCAACCGTAGTTGTGCAAAAAGAGCAAAACACTGGGTGTGTGCCAAAAAAAACCCTGGCCCCATGACAGTCCGTTCTGTATAGTTTAGGGTTTTACTGTGAGGGATTTGGACGGCTTCTATATGGGTGTAGGGGTTAAGGTATCGAGGTTAAGGGCTTGCTAGAAGGGCTACCAGAAAGGATAGTACGGTTACTAGATGGTATGGTTACTACATGCGTGCTTTAAGGTTACTAGAAGCTAGCATCCCCAATTGAGATTGAGCAGGTCAAAGGTTTTATTGGGCTTTACAGGCTTTTGTATCGCTTCATGGAGGCCTCATAAATGTTGCTAGGTTTGAACAGGGTAACAGAGAATCTACTCAAGGTTCAGAGTTCATTAATCTATAACATAAAGAACTCGACAGCTGTTGATGAAAGCTTACGGGCGTAGGGTTTAGAGGTGTTTACGAGACTCGGAACTCACAAAGCCAATCTTGACACCAGTGGCAAAAGGACTGCGACTTCTTCCGTGGCAAACTTGCCGCTCTGGTTCTGCATGGTGCCAGCCGCGCAAGCCGCGTCCACGGCAGTCAACTCAGAATGCGATGCGCAAGTCACCGTGATGCCCCTTCTATCTCTAAACCCTTCCCTATGCACCCACCCTGAACCTTGCAGCACAGCGACTCCCCTAGGACTCTTTACAGAAACGCTAAGGCCGCTAGCTGCAAGCGGGGCGCGTTCGGAGTTGTCAGATGCCCTGCTTTCCGAGTCGTCATCGCGAGCAGGGGGTATGAAAGCTTCCTTGTCCTGGCGAGGTGCCCTGTACCCGAAGCCCCAAAACCCCAGCCCATGGCCGATATATCCGAAACCCTAAACCTTAAGAGAACCCTGCAGAAAATCTTTTTAAACCTGCGCAGAAGACTCTGGCAAAAGCTCGCGATGTTCGGAGGCGGAAAAGCGCAGGACGGCTGTGGAGAGACTACATGGGTGGTTGTCAAAATTATGGTCCCTTTTTGGGTCCCCATTATAATACGGCACCTATTATTTAGGGTACCCCAAAAGGGACCTTAATTTTGACAACCACCACATGAAGAGGGCCCAGGAGGCGAAGAAACAGAGCTGGGCTGGGGCGGGGTGGGGGGGTGGGAAAAAACACACCCTAAACCCCTAAACCCCTAAACCCAAAACCCTAAACTTGTAGCCAAACCACAGGTTGAAAGAAAAGCAAACAGGTGACTTCCAAACTCTACCTGTTAGCGGCTGTCGCAAATCCATGAAACCGTAGTGCCGTAGTGTTACCAAGCATTTGGGCGAACAACCCTATACCCTGACCCCTAACCCTAAACCCGAAACCCCTAAACTCTAAAAGCATAGTTTCTCTTTCTTCGACCTCGAATTCTTGGACTTTCGTAGGGCCTGCCTCGATCCGAAACCCGATGGGCGGAGCTTCGTCCCAGTGAACAGTGTCCTGGGCTCGGTAAGGTCTAGCTGACAACTGCGCTGTATAGGCTTTGGGGGTTTAGGGCTTAGCGTTTGCTTGTTAAGGCACGGTGAGTTTCTGGGTTTACCGGGTCGTTAAAAAACCTAATCTGGATTACCATGAACTAGCAACCCTAGCCTACAACCTAAAACCACCTTCCTTACCTCCGAGCCCGAGTCAAACCCTTGTACCGGCATATGAAAACTTTTTGGATAATCACATATATACATATGTTTGGTATATTTCAACAGATGTGTGTATATAAATATTATGCGTATACAATGGATAGCCCAGCCTTTACAAAACCTTAGGTTCCTCATGAGCAACCAAGCGTCTTGTTCGAGGAAGTGCGGAAGGTGAAGCTTTCGCCTCGGAGCAGGCAGTATGCGAGTGCGCCGGGTTGGCAAAAGAGGCCAGCGGCGTGTGCTTCAATTTTAACTCTTTAACCACGGATACTTGTCGTGGTGTACCGGTCTTCTTTCGGGGTTTTGGGGTTCACTGGGGTTTAAGGGCTACTGTAGAGAGAGTAGGCGTCAGGACATGCTGCAAAGTGGTTCAGGGTTGTGGTCCCGCACACATCCAAAGATCCTGCTCCTGTTGCCATGGACAAAAGCATCGTGTTTGGGTGCACAGCCTCGCTATGCTCCGCGCCTCCAGTAGCACTCCTTCGTCGCGCACCTCGCAGGATGTTGGCGGCAGAAGAGAAAGCTTCGTAGGACTCTGGCTGCAAGCCTTGTCCACGACTCTACAACCGAACATCGCACCAGTGCAACAAGCTATGCTTAGGTGGCGATTGAAAGCGACCCGACAGGGGTTGAGCAAAGAGACGGGCACAGAAGGACAAGCTGCACCCGAAACTTGCATCCCCCGAAGCCCGCACTAAACACATCCCATTCCCCTTCTTGCCAAGTCGCTTGCCGCCGTGAAAGCCGCAGGCGTTAAAGTCTCTTTCGAAGTCAGCTAAAACCTCGTGCCGAGCTTGCCAAAATCAGGGGTTTATGGTGTTTTTGCCTTGGTGTCTGGGTTTTCAGGCCTTTCAGGGTTGAGGGTCATTTTTGTGCGGGCGTTTGGGAAGGAAGCATGAGGTTTACGCGTCTGTGCGCTCGGAAGCATCTGTTGTTGAAGGCTGCATGGTTCTTCTCCTGTGCTGCTTAGGTAAGCTAGTATTGGACAGCTGCATGCTCAACTAGCCGGTTTAATCTTGCTGGCATGCTGGTTGACTTCTTGTTGTGCTCACTGCTTGGCTGCTTGGCTCGTGCTAGCGCTGCTGATCATGCAGCCTCAGTTCTTGTGGAAGGCTTCTTTTTGAAGAATTGAGTGCTTGTCACCGGGCAGCTTCGTTAGACGTCCAGCACTGAAAGCTCTGGCGGGGGGAGGACTCGGCAGCTCTGCACTTCAGCTGCAGTCTCTCTGAGTCTCTTTCCGTGGAAGGCTCTGCGATCCTGAAGGAATCACTCCAAACGTTTCCAGTGGGTTCGCCACCATTCCACAAAACTCAGGCAAGAAGTGGCAGTCCCGTCATTCGACTCCTGAGACGTTGCATCCTCTTGCTGTAAACCCTCTGCCTCCTGAGCCCTAGCTTGGGCTTCAGAGCTGCTGTGTTTCGGTCGAGGTTTAGGGTTTCCACCCAAACCTTGAGGCTCTACATCCGAAATCCCTGACCCAAGACCTTTAAGCCAAAAGCCTAAACTTAAACAGGACCTGAACCCCGAAACGCTGCCGCGAAACAAGCTGGCCTAATCTGCATGCATGCGCGAAGGAAAACACAAAGATGCATCAGCAAGCAACCTTTTTTTCCGTGAGCCATGAACACCGAAGCCTAGCGCAACATCCTACGCTCCAACCCACCCAGGAATGCCCGTAGTAACCCCGTCAGGAACCCTTAAAGGAATCCGAAATTTGACCACCGCAAAGGAACCCTAATTTTACCACCTTATGCGAAGCCTTAAAGCAGCCCTTTTGATTGTAATAGTTATAATAGTAAGACTAATAACAACAATAAGAATCATAATCATAATCATTCTGGTATTCATAATAAGGAAGCTGACCCCGAGCGGTGTCTAACCCGGCCTTCTCCGGCTTTTCGATTAAATTGTGCTCCAGCCTCGGTCTCGCCAGGACCGTGTGATGTGCGATGGACTTCGGGGAATCTGGGGTGCAAGCTCTACATGGTTAGAACATACCTTACGGTTCCTTTAAAGGGTTTCTCTAGGGTACTATAAGGGTTCCTTTAAGGGGCTCTAGAAGGGTTGGGAGTTTCCGAACATTAGGGGTACCGTATTTGGGGGTCCTTATGATAAGCATCCTACGATGTAGGGTACTATATTGGGGTCCCCTATTTTCGGAAACTCGCATATGCCTGAACACCTTCAGAACTTGATGGCAGCTATCAAAGAGTAAAATGTAGTAGCTGAAAGTATAGTGGCTGATGTTCAGATTCTCAGTGCTCATGCTCACTATCACCAAAGCAATGTGGCATGCCTTATCAGCGCGGCTGCTGCCGCTGCGCGCGGGTGAATTTTGACAGCGGCAGCAAGCAGCAAGCAGCAGCAGCAGCAGCAGCAGCAGCAGCAGCAGAAGCAGCCAGCAGCCAGCAGCAGGGGCTAGCAGTAATTGTCGTCGTCGTCGTTGTTGTGAAGGCTAGCATCGTCATCCTGGTAGCTAACAACAGCAGCATCGTCAAAAGAAGAGAAAAGCCCCCTCGAAGAACCACTTTTCGAACACTACAGGAACCCTCACCCTCTATAGTGACCTGTCAAGGGCCCCGTCAAACGGCCGCCGCGTGACCGAAGCCAGATGGGAATCTGCGAATAGTCGCGGTTCCGCTCCAGGGCGCGCACCAGGAAAGCCTGGGCAGAGAGATAGAAGTTTTCGGCGGAGTGTTTGACAGGGGTTTTGGGATTGGGCTTGGGGGTGTAGAGGTGCGGGGGCTCAGTGTTGCAATGCTACAACAAAACACTCAATCCTAAATCGGAGAAAGCTAACCTTAAGCTCGTTTTACTATTGGTGCTTTGGGTTTAGGTGCTTTGGGTTAAGGGGTTCGGGGGTTTCAGGATATGGGTTCCTCTTGCTGGCGTTATAGGGTTTAGCAAATTCATGTAATTGTCTAACAGGGTTTGTTAGTGGGGTTGTATGACTTGCGAAGTTGGTTTTACAAACGAAATTTTCTTTCGGGTTTCAGGGATGTCATGTGGCATTTGAAAGGTTTTCCAATGGGTATTACAGGGTGTTATAGGGTTATAGACTTCACATGCAGTCAAGGATTGAGGGTCTGGGGATCGAGGGTTCAAGGATTTTGGGCTCAGGGTTTTACAAATATTTGGAGTGTTCCACTGTGAGTGTTAGCCAAAACCGGTTCACTGCAGACAGGCACGCAATCTGCCGTTCTGGCCCGAAACTTCTGCTGTGGACTTTCACAACCGGAAATCCGCTTCCTGTCATGCCTGCTTCTTTGACTATACGGTCGTGATCACATCGGGAACACTGGAAGCATGGATACTGTCTGGACTTCACTGCGAACACGCTGCACGGTTGATTGATGCTAAGTCCTGCATTACCCATAATGAGGAATATACCATAATTCCCGTAGTCTAGGGTCATGAAGGTAATCCAGAATTTATTCCGTCACAGCCCTATGTCTCTGGGGCCCACGCAGCGCCGTAAGCGCTGAATCGGTTGTGGGAGAGATGCACCTCTTCCAAGCTTCCGCACCTGTGAAGGCCCTTCTGGAGGCTTGGGGCTTCTCTGGCAATCTACTCAGAACCTACTCTTTGATGTCATTCAGATTTCGGTCTAGTCTAGTTGCCCTTTTAGTGATACTTTTTCCGAGGGGAGATTGCAGAGAGCGGCCCCCAATTTTATGCCAAGTCCGACACAGAGATCCCGGGCGAGAAGCGCTCAGGAAGGTAGATTCAAGGAAGCAGCAACCCTCGGGAGAAACCCTTTTGACACAGGGGGCAAGACTCAGAAACCCCAAATGCCTAAAGCACAATCCCTGAAACTCTCCAAACCCAAAGCCAGCGCACCCCCAAATCCTACATCCCTAAACCCTCAACCCCACGTCCTCCAACATCCGCCACAACCCTTCCAAAATCCCCTGGTCGAAGCCCCGAAGACAAGCTCCTTTTCAAAAGGAAGCGGCTCCAAGCAGAACTTGCTCAAAAGCTCGGCGGACTCGTCGTCCAAGCCCTCAGCTTGTTGAACCTCCTTTACAAAATTTTCTTCACGGGGTTTCACCCAGCCCCACCGGATCCAGAAAAGGTCTGCAGAACCATGTAGGGTTGAGGATTTTCTACCTGGGGTCTTTCAGTTCAGGTTTGGGATAAGGGCTTCGGTGTCAAGGATACGAGTGAAGTGTAGCGTTGATAAACAAATGGTTAGGGATGAGGGTTTACAGATTGACAGCTGGACTTTGGGCAACTAAGGATTCGATGTCAGGTCCAAGGTCTAAGGTTGCTCTACTCGTGAAACCGAGTTAATTTTGGGCTTCACAACTGCTGTATCCCGATATTCCCTGACCATGCTGTAAATTCACAATATTATGGCGTCCGGGTTTTGAGTGTAAGTTCAAGGGTTGGGAATTGCTGAATATCAAGCCAGAGGGAGATGGCTTCATAAAGCTTGGTGGCATTCAAGGGTTTTGTAAGATAATGGTTACTTCGGAGGATCCTATCTGGGCCTGCTGTTCTGGGAGCCGTAGGATCGTTTTGGTTGGATGTTTGAAAGATTTGGCATTTAGGATATGATGCATTGTGGCTGCGACCTTGGTGGTTTCCTAAGTCCTACAAAACTGACCCTAAAGCCCGACCCTGTAGGCCCTTAACTCTTAACACCTGAAACAAGCAAATAATCATTTCTGTTGTCTACTTGCGTTTTATTTTGAAGTCATTTTTTGTTGTGTTGGCCAGAAAATCATTGGCAAATACGGGTTTCTCGAGAAATTCATGCTACCGAGCCCTGGGCGCAGATTCTACACAGATCTTACAACTCCCACGACCAAGACTTTCTTGATTGTCTCCGTGTGAACACTCATTACTGGCACGTATTTCGCAAGATGCACGTGCAACCCTCTCCCTGAGTGGACGAAAAATGGCTCATATGATCCTAGCATCCTAAACCAAAGAGCGTAAACCATGAACCCCAAAGCCACGCTTGGGCTGGAGCCTTGAGACTTCTTCTGGCTGACATCTTTGCGGTTCGAGGGCAGGGGTACTGCAAGGGAGAAACATGAAAATAAGGTTTATTAGACACCTACTCTGCGGGTACTTTGGGTGAGTAGGGAACCTATAAGGGTGAGAACAAGGGTACGATGAGGGCTCGGTGTAAGGGTACTGTACGGTTTTAGGTTTAGGCTGCCGGATTTCAAGCTTGGGTTGGAGTTGTGGGAAGTTTTGGGGCATACTGTACTAAATCTAGTATCAGCGTAAGGCCATGGTCATTGCTCTAAGAACCCAACCTCTGCCTGTGGAAAGCAAACTGAAATTCCGGAGCTGAGCGTCGCATCGATAGAGCTTCAGCACTCTCAGGTGCCGCTGCTGTTGAAGGAAGTCGATGATTCTTCGAAGACCACTCAGACCAAACAAGTTCCGAGACAGATCCACCTGCAAGCCGAGACGACATGCCTGTCATTTTATTGAACCCTGCGCACTAAGTCCAACGGCCCTACAATCACTACAATATCTCAACCTGAAAGGTTGCTGGGAATGTGAAACTCGTGTCAGGAAAAGACTTGCTGGCCTTGGCTCCCACGCTGCAGACTATAACTTTCACGGCCCTGCCTCATCAAAGTCACGCTCTTCCACTGGAAGTCCTTCAACCGAGGTTGAGTCAGAGCTGAGGGTTTTCAACAGCCAGGAAACCTAAGGCCCTCGTTGGCGTGCCTTGCAGGTCATCGTCTGTGAGGCCCTCGTTGGAATGTTTAAACTGCCGCAATTGCCACGGCATGGCACTGGAAGATACTTCTCTGGTGCCGTGCCCCTGCTTTAGCCCATGTTCTTACTGCTGCAAATCTCTCTGACCAACTGGCTTGATGCAAGAAGAAGCTTTGTGGAAGACATGTAGCAGCTAGCACAATACTGGAGCACATGTAAGTTAAAGCTTGCAGACCACGTCTGACTACAAGCTCTTGCCATCTCTTGATACCTCCGAGCATAAGGTGTAGAACAAGCAGCACTTCAGCACAAGAGGGCGAAACTCAGTGAAACTGTTGAGCCGGTCGGTGCAGCGAAGGAACAGCTGGGCGTAACGGAGGTTTCGGTGGCAAAAGGATCCTTTCAGGGTCCGGTTCGGGCTTCGGGTCTTCGGGCTTGGACCCTGAAGCCCTAACCTAAAAACCCTGGACTCTAGCCAGCAGCACGACCCGAAACAAATGAAGCCCCAAAGTCCCCCAAAACCTGTATCAAACTTCTCAAAGCAGCGACCCAAACCCAACAGAGCTCCGCCCAGATCTGGGTCTTGGCATCGGGCGGTAGCCCTGGAACAGCTGCCTCCTGCATACGGCTTTATCCGGGCCAAGGGTTTAGGAGTTCAGGGTTTACACGGGTATTAACGATTTAATAAGGTCGTGTGAAGATTTTACGGCCTTCAGCATTCAACAACAAGTCCCGCCGAGCTTCCCTAGGTCCTAAGCAAGAGAACCTCTACAGACGTGGACATGTGAGTCGATGCCGATGCACAATCCCGACGACTCCACCAAATCCCACATGCCCCAACCCCTAAGAAAGTGAGTCCAGAAACGCGAGCTCCTTGAAGATCGCAACATGGAAAGCTGCGCCGGTTCAAGCTCCTTTCTGGCACTTACAGCAAGAATCTTCGGACTTCGAAGTGCTCTACAAGAAACATGTCAAAATTGTCCTGACAAATTGACCGGTCCAATACCACAATCTACCGTGCGAGAACTGAGATGGAAGAGACAAGAGGTTAACCTGCACAGAATAGCACGGCACTGTTGTAAAACGGGGATGAACACGACTTGAAGCCAAGTGGCACGCTCCAAAATGATGATGTTGGGCGTGAGACCAGAACCGTACAAGCAAAAGGATATAATCTGACTCAACAATAGTGACAAGTATGAGAGATACCGATACCATAACATGGGAATATAACAAAGAATGTTCCAACTGACCCCGCAGCGCCATCTCATACTCTGACAACAGAGGAGCAACGTTGCCAGGGGATAGTTAGAATAGGCTCTTCTGGATTAGCACCGCACCCACAACCCGCACATAAGATGCTGCTATCGCACCATATAATGACGTGAAGATCACGAAAGAACACACAAAACATGGCAGGCGATGGTGATGCCTTTGCTGCTGCTGTTTGGGAGGCACGCACGTGTGCACGACATGTCTTTACAAGATATGCATGATCTCGACGAATCAACGGGGCTATTTGGCAATTGCCATACGTCAAGCACCAAGTCTGAAGGCAACGCAACCCCAAATGACAGTGTGAGGTAACAAGCACAGGGTTATGACCAATAGATACCAATACTGTACCTGTCTATGGGCAAGACCGGATGCACCGCTGGGGAGCCGACAACACAAGGTTGGAGTTCAGGTTGTGACCATGGCTTCGCATCACGTTAAGGTTGCTGCTGCTCGCAAGCTATCGGGCCATTGCACAGCCTTGGAAACATTTCTTGATCTATTGCAACACAATTTACTCAACTCCTTTATTACGGCTTACAGTAACAGTCTATAAAAAGCGATGTTTCCAACATGGAGCAATGTGTGCCACCATAAGTTCAAACCGATGCTAACATAGTGTAAACGGAACGGAAAATGGACGGAAACAACGTACGTGGTGATTAGTTGAGCGCACGACAAAGCAGATCTTTGTAAACCACCATGTGAGCACTCCAAGCCGAGACATGCACAGACAAGAACATGACTGGAAAGAAATCCAAAAACCTCGGATTGTGTCGTGGAACTAAACGACTCCAACATGAAACTTCCGTGGTGCCAAATCCATTCAATTTGCAAACAAGGCACGAAGATGATCACAGAAAAATGGCTGGAAAACGAAAAGCCGAAATTTCATTTGTTGCTTGCTGCCGTGTGTCAATGCTGAATTTACCCATGTTGTACCAAATCAAATCCAACGCCGAGCATTCCTGCGCTACTCTGCAGGGCCGCTGAGACGTTTTCCACAAAACTCCAGAACCGGATATTGCACAATGATTCAAGGGTCAGTTTACGGGCTCGATATGCAAAATGCCCGAGAATAAGATATGTATTGGAGCCAGCTATAAAAATCGCTCCCGAATATATTCTCGTGACTGCTGACGTGGCACTCTTTTGTTCCAGCACTCGAAAGGGGCTGTTCGAAAGAAAGTTCGAGCACACGACGGGTTGAGCACGACCCGAGTGGTTGCGTTTCCACGAGTGCAGATTGCGGTAGAGAGATTCCGCTGCGTGCTAAGCACCCGATTGCCCCCCTTGGTGTGGGTGGGCGGGACAAAATTTTTTCCCAGTGGCCCGAAATGCCACTTGATCTGCAAAACCGTCGGTGCATAGAAACATTCATAACTTCAACATGCATAGAGAACACTTTATGCAAGCGTTGAAGGTTGGGAAAATCATTCGTGTGATAAAAGCATGCTTTCACACAGAAATTAAAAGTTTGAAATCATGCAATCAATCGGTTCCCGGTTGTCGCCATTTTGAGGGTTAAGGATTACCCTCAAATAAAACAACCTTGTAGTTTAAGTGGAAAGAGTCATCCGCAAGCGGAAACGTGTCTTCCACAAAACTCCAGAATTTCCGGCAGTCTGGGGGCTGAGCGACTTCGAGAAGACCGCTCAGCTGCTGTCCGAGGTCCTCGCGGGTCGGGTGAAACATCCCGCAACATGCTGAGTCATCTAGGAGAGTGCGAAGCTGTGCAGCACAAGTCCCGAGCGATGATCATCAGCGACACTATTAACAAAAGACGAGGCAACATTGAGAGCCTTCGCCACACGTTGAATGGGAGGGAAGTCAGGAAGCCGCAGTCCGTCTGACATGTACCTCCTCTTGTGAAAAGCATCGAATTGGATGTATCAGATTAGCTACGCAATCACATCCGGAAACATTCCGAGCAGCAACTAACGGTTCGGAAAGAAGCTCGAAACAACATGGCCTGAGCAGCAAAGCTACGGATCAGGTCAAAAGCTCGGAGCAGCAGAGCTACAAATCCGAGAAGAACTCAAAACTACACGGGAGGCTCTCACGTCACTTCAGAAGGCGTCGTCGGTGGAGCTCAGAGGACCTCGCTTCCGCAGCCCACAGCAGCCGCCCTTGTAGTAGACGACGAAGAGGAGGAAGGGTGAGCCAGCAGCCCAAACCAGCAGCAGCAGCGCCAGACCAGAGAGGCAGAGCAGTGCCGCTCTCGGTTTATGCCAAGAGCACAGCCAGTCCACACAGGAACCCCTAGGGAAGGGGACAGGGCCTAAACCCGAACAACCCAAAAGGGAACAAGGGCCGTCAAGAAAGGATGCCACGTGAAAGTCAAGAAAGCGTGAGGCATCACGCGCACGCGAAAGGTGTTAAATGCGAAAACACCCAGGCCATCAGCAGCAGCCCAAGTAGAGCATAAACGCATTCGGCGAGAGGCCAAAGCGCACCTCATTGCACACAGGGCTCCTAAGGGGAGGGAAGGGCCTAAACCCGAAAAACCCAAAAGGAGAGGACCAGCCTAAAGAAACGAGCCCACACCAGCAGCAGCAGTGCCAGGCAGGAGCCAGGCAAGCAGCGCTCGGAGTGGTTCGAAGCACGCACCCGGTAGAAGCGGATGGGCCATAGCAAGGTCAGCAAAAGATTGTTACAAGAAACATCCCAGAATCAGGGACTCCCGCCGGCAGCAGCATCGCCACACAAGGAAGCATTGCCGCGCTCAGCAGAAGGGCCTGAGCTCAGGCAAGATGCACAAGAGTACCCCGAGGGGAGAGGGGCCTAAACCCAAGAAACCCAAAGGGGAGGCAAGGGCATCGCGGAGCCACGGAGGCCTGGGAAAGCGAGCTCCACACAATAGCAGCAGCACCACGCAACAAGCGAGGCCGCGCTCATGCATAGAGGAGTTTACGCCAGGTGCACACCGGAACCTCTAGGGGAGAGAAGGGGCCTAAACCCGAGCAAACCCGAAGGGGAGAGGGCAGGGAGTGAAAGTTCGTTCCGCCCGGCACATGAAAGCACAAGCAGCACACACACGAAAGACATACCAAGGGCAATCAAAGAATTGAGGAGCCAAAGGTAAGTAGTCATAGAGCATTCTGGTGCGGCCAAACTAGTCAAGGCCCAGCCCCTGCGGGCTCAGCATCATCAAGGGGAACACTTTTCACATGTTTGTCCAGCTTCTCGGCAGCAGCTGCCGCAAGTCTGACGGTAGCCAGCTCCCAATCCCGAGCCTGCTCACACTGTTGATGCCATCGCTCCCGGAGAGAGCCCAAGAGCCTGTTTTGCATGCAATTGCCCGCCGCCTGATCTGCAGCATGGTTAAAGGCGCGGAGCACATCCGCATCGTGATCCGGCGAAGGCCGCCAGCGGGGGTGCTTATTGTGTGACGGCACCCAAATCAAGGAGATAGCACAGCCGCGCCTCACCAGTTCCTTCCAGAGACGGCGCGCGTCCCTGAGCAAGAGGCCCAACTTAAAGGGATCATCACCATGGCCCGAGATGGCCGTCAGGGCAGCTTTGCAGTCGGTCAAGATGAAAATGCACGTCTCGCAGCCCTCACTCCACACCCGGTGGACCGAAGCAAAGGCCGCGTGGAGGGCCAGAACTTCCTGCCGATACGGGGATTGATCCTCTGCCCCAGTGCCCATGGCATAGACACAAGACGGATCGCCGATCACCACCGCATAAGCACCGACAGATCGATGGCTGGAGCCATCAGTAGCCGCATAAATCCTGCTCCTGCCAGAGCCGAGGGCAGCACGGAAAGCAGCATCCAAGTCCGCCCGAAAAGCC